GCAACAGCTGTGGCTTCATGAAGAGCCTTGTTCTTCACACATATTATTTAAATATGGTTCTGTGAAATAAGTGCCCTTCTGTTAGTACATCTACGCAAAGCTGAATGAATATGCGTTTTTGGTGTCAAGAAAGGGGCACTAAAAATCCCATGCAAATACTTATGATACTATGATAATTATATTATTATCAAAATATTTTTACAAAAACATATCTAAAAACAAAGTTATATTACTGTTCAAGATTGTTGTTTACAAGATAAGAATAGGTTTTTTATTGATCTCGAACTGGAGAAATTTACAAGGAGAATTATTGGTGTTGTAAATGAAAAACATGCTTATTTATCCAAGGAATTATTATTCATAACTATAATCTAATGATTGAGTTAGTGTGGCAAAAAACAAAACACATCAGGGGGATATTGGAATAATAGCAGTGGAATTCAGGAAAGAGGAAGATAGAGAGGAAACTGCACGAGGAAGTGACCTGCACCTTTGAAACAGGCCCACTTTACTGTGTCCAGTCTACAGTGGGCAGAGCTGCATCTAAGGCACATTACAACACAGGATGTAGAGCTGCATGCACAATCTCAACCAAAACTACACCATTCAGATTGTAAGTTCTAGATGCAAAGCCAATGAAGATGGACAGAAACCCAGGCATGTACTGTATAGTACTTCATTATACATTTAAGTGTCTAATTTTGTCAGTATGGATTCTAAATTATATTCAAGAGACTGCAAGCATGGTTTTTAAGGCCAATCATTTTGAATATTTCTTTTGCAAAAATCTAGCAGACTAGGAATAAATTGTGAATCTCTGACTTGAAACATATGTGCACACCATCGATATTAGCACATTGAATATATGCCTGATGCAAAACATTTAGTTTCGATACAATAGGAAAACAGTATAAGAACACGACATTCATCTCCATTGTGTTTGTGTGTCAAAAGTGGAGGAGGCAATCAGGGATCCTTCAGCTAAGACGAGCCACAAGCTGTTATTGGCAGTGAACAGATGTTGGAGGGAAAGTTGGCATTCGCAAACCATTCTTCTCCTGACAGAAATCAACAAGACGAACACTGGAGACATCGTGATTGTCACCCGATGAAAGAGAGACCCTTAAATATACACACGCAGGCTGGCAAGGCAAACACTCCTCTTGATTTCACGCCCACAACACATCTGACAACATCTGAGTGTACTGAAGGTGGAGGTGTTTCACTGAGAAAATGCTATAATGATGTGACCATACAGTAAACGAGAGGTGGGAAGAGAGGAGTTTTGTTTCCCATTGTAACCTTTATGGAAAATTGTACTTCTAGTTTTATCCATTGTTTGCTTCAATTTGTAAATATTCATGAAATGTATACATCCTGTGAAAGAAATTACCTATTCAGAGTTCACAATTGTATTTTACATTGATAGTATTTGTTTCTGTATTTAAAAACATTCACATTTTCATTAATTGTTTTTTCCTGTTACTACTACTATTTCAACATGGAGGAGATTTACGTTTGGAAATGCAAAAACAAATGTGTAATGAGTGACCATATCAAATACTATGGAATATGCTTCCATCCATAAACATCTGAAACATCTCCCCATTTGTACAGTGGCAACACAAACATGTGTTCAAAATGTTGACAGTCAGTACAGTAAACACTCCCTTATCCCTTAGGACTGTAATCTGTCTCTGATGAATGCCCCTCAAAGATAGAAGCGTCACCTGATATGATAAACTGTATGCTGACGCTACATAAAGTGGTCTTATGCTAAAAGGACTTGGAAAGATTCACTATACATAGAGTGAAAGAGAGACAGAGAGGAGGAGAGGATGTCTGGGAGAGAAAAAATACACTTGAGTAAAAGAGAAGGAAATATAAAAACTTATTCAATTTGGCATTTACTGTATATTTCATGGGTGTGTATGTGTGGGTGGGGGGTAGTACACTCTGGCTTTAACTTAAACCCCTAATTAACAGTAGCTGTCATGGCTGAGACGATGCTACTAATACAAGTTTTCAATGAGTGTACATAAACAAATATCCTCATAGGCAATATTGCATATAATTAAATTCCTAGTCCCAGTGTTCCCAGGGGCATTACTGTACTGCAGAGGTCTTCCACAGTAATACAATGAGAGAGCGTAATGACCATACAGTGTGTACACATGCAGTGTATGGGGAAACAGAGCAGCGTGAGTCCTCGGTCGCTCCATATGGTGAGAACAACACAAAGGGGAGAGCACTAAGTCAGTTTAATAAGCACATTTGACATTAGACGTCGCCGCGTGGCCTCATAGTGCTGCTCCAATATGTTCCCATAAACAGAGGCCCTCTACATCATCCACACTCCCCCCACCGACGAACGACAAACTTTGGGGCAATTTTACAGAAAAATTACTCTGAAGGCCTGGTTTCAATTCAGTCTGTTCATATCTTTTCTTCCTATTAAGAATCAAAATGTTCCTTCTCTCAGCTCCAATAGAGGTATGGACACCAGCCGCAGGAGCAGGATGGGGCTGAGGAGAGAGAGGGAATAGAGCTTGCAGGAATTCACGCACCATATTACAGCAGCTAATCGCAATCCAGCCAGCATCAGCAATATTTTCATCATTCCTGTCAAATTCCACTGACCTGTCTCCAAACAGCTAACAATCTGGGCAATTTATTGGCATATTGGCACAGGGTGATAAGGCTAAAAACAACAGCAGCTAGCAGCTGGCCCTGGGAGATGGGATGATAACATTGATATGTGCTCCCACACAAAACACCTCCACCACTATCTGCTCCTTCCATCAAACTCTTATTACAATAAAAGTCTATGGCTCTGTTCTGCTTTCTGGGAGAGGAAAACCGGGGAGGGGGCTACAGGAGGAGCATAGAAATATATATTTATATCAAAAATCAGATGTAACGTTTCAGGGGGGAAAACAAGGGGGAAAATACATAATTTATCACAGTATTATCGGGAAATCCAGGCAGCCTAATCAAGGAGCACTGAGTGACTATTTTTTGCCTTATCATCCAAAGTGGTGGAAACGGAGAAGGAATTATCAGGCAGCTGCAGATTGCTTGGCTGGAATTTTAATGGTAATAATCGGGTTTCTGATGGTATATCTTCCCTGCTTATCTTTCCCATTATCTGGACTTATCTCCACAGTCATCGGAGCAAATTAATGGTGCTCTTTCAGCATCGCCTTTTTATCACTGCTCAGAGAGCACCCAAGGGGAAAGAATAAGCAAAATATTAAAATACTGCATAAATCACAATTTTAGATAACAGCCCAATGTATGCAGGAAGGGTGGGGGGGCTGCACCCAACAACCTTTTTGTCCTTTAAAACCACTGTCTGTGCTGACTTTAGTGGAGTGCCTTTTTCCCAGAGTTCCCGGCGCTGAGAGGATCCAGGCTCCTCCTGACCTTTCTGTTCCACCACAGTTTGATTAGACACTTAAACACTGCTCCATATTAACATCATACACACACTCCTCCACACAAGACCTGATTGCAGTAATAAAGACGCACAGACGCTCACTAATGTCACACTTCCGTCACATGACAAAACTCTGGATCCAGCTTTTGGATTGGCCTGAGGACGCCTATCACGTCATCGTTGTCGGGCTTCTGTTTAGGTCATGGTTGGCTGTGCACTGAACAATTTATATGGATTACTATAGTTGTTATTATATAGTTACTTTTTTCATCAACTCCTTTAAAACTTAATTGTGATTGCAATACAATTATGATTAACTTGAATTAAGTCAATATAAATGTGTGTCAAAAAAAATTTCTAAAAGAGGACTTAAACACATATTATAAAAAGTTATTTTTTTTTGCTTTGTAGAAAATATATTATAAAGCTATAAAAATATGAGTGTAACACATTTATAGCACCAATGTTAACCATGCAAATAGCAAACGCTAAACCATTTAAAATCACATACTGATGTGATGAACACCAATCTGCGACACAAATCCACAGGACACACACAGTGACACAGACACCCACAAGCAAGATGTGAATTCATGTGATAAACCAAAAGGGAATCTTCCAAATGCTTGCACTTTAGAGAAATGAGAGTTAGGACAATTAAAAATAAAAAAATACACCTTGAAAGCGAATGAAAAATAAAAACAACATGAGGACAAAACAAATAATAATAATAATCTTTAAACATATTGTTGTGTTCATGTGTGTGTTTTTAAAATATGGCCATTTTGGAATAACAACAATAAACTCAAGGCGACTTGTGTGAAGCCTCTTTGTCATAATATATTAATTTCAACCGCAAGACATTATTTAACATCAATCCATTTAAAAAGCAAAGTTTAAGTCTTATAACTATATGACTAAACACGTGTTAACTTTGAAATAAATACAGGCACAGAGAAATAAACGCAATCTAGTCCATCAGCAGATTCAGCATGAGCCACACATCATCACATGTCAATAGTGATCAATAAAGAATCAATCACAGGCCCCAACAGTATAGTAAACATGTGTGTGTGTGTGTGTGTGTGTGTATACTGCTCTCCCAAGTCGTGTCCCTCAAATAAGTACAACCAAAACACACAGAAAACAACATCCAGGCTATACAATTTGTGAGAAGATAAATTGTTAGTCATTTTGAACAGCATGGCATGTTGCATTTAAATCATTTGTGGTTTTAAAGAGCAGTAACTGATCACGAGTGACTTGAGACGTGCAACATGGCAGTGCGTAAAAGTTTGGTCCAGCAGCACCAAAGGGATGTGGACTGGGACTGGGACTCGAGGTGTTTTGGAGACGCGAGCGGAGAGGAGCGGAGCAGAGCGCACGGGTATGACGGGGCTGCACACGCGTGGCGATAGTTACGCACGGCGGGATCTGCTCCACACTGTGATCAGCAGCGTTACACTAATACACAAAGTCCAATAAGCCGCTTTGGGAGGACAAAAAGCGCGGTGGCATAAAACAAAAAACAAAAAAACAAAAAACGAAAACAGAAACTTACGCTTGATCTGCCTGGGGTTGCTCTGCTTCCTTCGGGACATGCCTGCGCGCTGGTCAGTGAATCCAGGTGTAGTACTGACAGATCGATAGGTTTTGGTTCATCCAAGCAGCCGGTTTGGATTTTTGTCTGATGGAAATTGAGAAAGAACAAGAGAAGGGAAGACAAGAGGAAGGAGTAGAAGAAAAGAGGGGGCACTACTTTTTACGCACAAGTCTATCGTTCTGTCTTTCCTTTATCTTTCTCGTCTCTCTGGCTCGGGCTTCGCTTTCTCTCCCTCTCTCTCCCTCTCTCTGTCTGTCTCTCCCCCACGCACACATCCACAGGCAATCGTGCACATTCGCCCTCCTCCCGCTCCCTCTTTTTTACAGCCGCGTCTCTCCGCGATGAAGCTGCGCCGCGATCTGCTGGACTTGACTGGGGAGGTGAAAACGTTTTGCGCTTCTGTTTGAAGATAGCGTTTGTTCCTCCCGGGATATCGTAGCTGTGATTTTGGTTAACTTCACTTGCTTCACAGTTACTTTATTAGGCTTTTAATTGTCCTAATTGGAACCACTTTTCACTAGAGCGTTGGCAAAGACGCATTTCTTATGGCAACGCGTAAAAAAAGAAGAAGAAAAACCTCATAATCTGCCCCAAAATACGACGGGACATAATATTGTGCACTATATGAATCACACTCTGTTTACTTACATTTCTTGTCATCCTCAGAAAGTGAGAAATAGTTTGTAGGAGCAGATGTGGCCCAAGGTAATTTGCTGTTATGACATGTGGGTCTTGTTATATCAGAGTTCCATCTGAGCAGATATTGGTAAATGCCCCGGGATTAGCCCACCAGCAGCTTAGCCACTCATTCTCCCATGATGCACTTGATCCCATTTGTTGATCGGGTATCTGGCCTCAAATGGCGCGACCCCTAACAAAAGACATGTTGTTGAATTTATGTGCTATTTTATTTAGTTTTATACATCAACATTTTCTTTTTAACCTAGGTTGAATAATACATTTCCTCCCCTTTACTTTACAGTCGATGCTCATTGATTCCAACTCTATATTTACACGTGATTGGACTGTCACTCAGACTTCAAGCAGCTTACACTTTGCATATCCACCTAAAATGCATTCTGAATATTTATGATATTTAATAGTAATATATATATTTATATATAAAAAAGTAGGAATATGTGAGCGGCTGTGTGATTTCACTGCCATGTTCTGGACTGGAAATCACTCTTCAATTAGCCAGTTGGACTGCCAAGGAAGACAAGCAAGTGGTCTGTGAAATTATCTTGTAACCCAATTCCACAAGTTTGGGACAGTGTCTGAAACTACAGAATAATTTATGTGGCAACGGGGTCAGGGCAGGTTTATGTTGAGGAGAGAATCTGTCTTTCAGAACAGACTATTACCTTCTGGGGATAAATGTATATACAAAATCTGGTCAAATTAAGTGACTTGTGAAGGAAAAGGAACATTTGAAAGCGAGAGTTTATCATTGGCATCGGCGCTTAATTTGATGTATTAATTGAGAAATGACAAAGACAGGAGCCATAGAGGCTCATGTTATAAGAAAAGACATTTAAAAAAAAATCAGGTGGTAAAAACTACATGGAGGATGTGGTAAAAACAGTATGTGATATTGTAAGCGAATATTGCAAAAACTTTTTCAAAATAAAGGTAAAGTTCAGCTCCGGTAAGTATGGAATTTGTATTAGAATCAGATTTGTAAGAAGAAGAAAAAAAAGTATGTTGTGTATGTTAATAAACCCTCAATGACTGAACAATACCATGTTACCATGTTAATACATTAACTGTAAATAAGGAAGTAGGCGCCAAAATCAATGACTGGTGCTGAGAGCAACAAAAGAGGAGAGACCTAAAATTGCCAGCTGCCGATGAATTTAACGCCATCCTAAATCCTGTGAGACTGCGGCGGAGTTCTTCTGAGCACTTCGCAGCCCCAGTGGCCTGTTTGAAGCCATTTTTTGACTGACAGGTACAAGTCTGAGAAAAAAAAAGGCATATTTTTTCCATGAGCCGAGCAGATGGTTGTGATAATTAACATGATACTGTTTCCATCGCGGGGGAAATCACTGACACAAGGCTGGCCACATTAATAGGTTAAAGTCGACTGTATGCTGCAGAGATGCTACATAATGCACTCACATAATCTGATTAGAGGGGGAAAGGTGGGTCTAAAGAGGGAACTCATTTGATTAAAAATGCCAAGTCACATTTAGGGAAAGCCTCTCGGGACAGTCGGGCTGGATTCTTTTAATAAGGACATGTTTTCATACACATTGTTGTTTCTTTACAGTGGAAAAAGGAATATTTTGAAGAATGAACGCAATACAGAAATGTGAAAGACACACTTCATTTGGTTGTTTAATCATTAGAAAATCATTTAACAAAGACCAAGGGGGATTAAGCTGTTAAATGTATTATTAAGGAACATTTTACACAAAACTATGGAGTGGCATTTGGGTTGACATTTTCAAAACATGTATATATGTAAAGTCTTAGTATATAATATTCAAAAATATATGTTACTGTACATCTAGTGAAATTGAGGCATATAGAATGTACTTGCAGATTGACTCCAGCAGGTGCTTAAAGCTTCATGTTTGGAAATAAAAAAAAGTGCAGATACCTCACAATCCCCCACCGGTATTGCTGAAGTTGTTTATACGTTTTGTCAAAATTAGACAACCACACATTGTCTTGATATAAATAGTTAAAATACTTTCTATCACATATTCACATAATTAAAGAGCCACTATGAGTCACTATCTGCCCCTCTGGGCTGAGAGCTGTTTAGCAGCTGCCAGGTGAATCCATGATTCACTTTCTGTGTGAAAACGCTGCTCTGAGGATGTAGGGGCAACACATTCATGAATTTGAATGCTTACAGTGTGCCAAAAGCTTTGAGACAAGGAAGAAGTTAGAAGCATTTAAATGTCAGGTACCCCAGTTTAATGCTTTAAAATATCAGAAAAAAAAATGGATATGTGAACAGGGGTTGGGAATAGTTGGAAAAAATTCAGAACATTGAGAATTCCTCTCACGTATAAACTGAAAGTTAGCTTGGCAGGGCAATGGCTCAAAGGATGGCAGAAAGTCGTGGAAGCCCCCTTACTCGCTGTCTCTCTGACCATGAGTCAGGAGAGCACTATGGAGAGCACCATCAACACACACACACACACACACACACACACACACACACACACACACACACACACACACACACACACACACACACACACACACACACACACACACACACACACACACACACACACACACACACACACACACACACACACACACACACACACACCTTGAAAAGGCTTTTGTGATTTTTTACTTGACTGTTTATATTTATTCTGTTTCCTTGTGTGTGTGCTTTAAAACTTGTACAAATAAATAATACATGATAATAATAATAATAATAAAAGTTATCTACTGTCTATGAAGGAACATTATTGTCAATCTTAGTCCATTTCAAAATCTGTCCTATAAAACAATATCATTTCTAAGTGACGTAGCTCCACAGGAGTACTGCTATAATTACAGCTCCCGCCTCCTCTGCAGTGCAAGTATGAAGTGCTGACGGAGTGATGTCCTGGAGTGTGGCGTGACAAATGAGTGTCTTGATTTCTTTTGGGGATCACACACACATATGTCCCATGGCACTGGTCTGCTCGGGACAGAGAGGGGGGAGAGCTGTTATGAGTTCACCTGCTGTGCTGCACCCCTCTGGCTCTAAGGAATTGGTTTGTCTCCCGGTGTGGAGGTGGTGGGAGGTGGTGGTTGGTATGGAGAGGCGAGAGTTTCACACTACTCTCTATAAGTGTACTGTGCATTTTTTCCATTTATTTTTAGTAGCTTTGAGAAACTCTCTATTTGCTTTCTTGGTTGGAGCTGCAGTGTCTAAAGTTCACAGTTAGATGGAGCAATTTTATCCCCCCTATTGAAATGAACCTCCCAATTGTTGAGGTAAAAATCAAGATATAAAAAGATACAGGCACAAACTCCCCTGATGAGGAGGTGATATAGTTGAAAATGCATTGAATGATGAGTTTTTATTATTCAGCAATCTCATTCCAGATGCATGTGCTGGAATACACATGGACTCCTCCACCTTGCATAGTGATGACAGATGGGGTTAGGGGTTAGATGAAATAAGTTTATACTTCAGCCTAAACCCCTTCGGTCTTTCATGCATTTGTATTTTTCTGTATACCGAAACATATTATTTATTTTGAATGTGGTGACCGAAGAAGAAATGAACTGAAACAGAAATGTGTTTTTGGCAAATTACAGTCATATTTCAAGACAAGCAAACCGATTATTATAAAACATGTATGAATAAATACATCAGCTTTAAATTAGCAATCAAAGCTAACGTTCAGGGCAGGCACAACAGTTCAAATAAGGAAATATTAAGTGTTTAGATTAAGCTTTATATAGTCATTGAAATACTTCTCTTACTAAATGTTCTCTTACTAAGAAGGTGTTGAATATTTTAGCATGTATGTGTTTGCTATTGACTTTCACATTCAATATTTAATTGTTTCCATGTTCTAATTTAGCTCTCTTTTTATTTCAAGCAGCCTTTTGTAGAACCTTTATACCTTCTGTGTATATTTTACAAAAAATAACAGTTTTTGTTGTTGTTTTTTTTACAGCAGATGGTGAGATCCATCAAACACTTTATTTTACAACCCAAACGTTGAGGATTGAGTAAATAATTACTTTGACTTGTAATAGTGAACACATGATTATATGTCATGTTTAATAATATACCCTAGTGCTAAGTGTTAACAAATAAATACATCTTTTCAGATATTATTCAGCTTTTCTCACACTCAGGTCATAAATTCATGCGCTTCACAATGTGTTGTATTTTCACCCACAGTGACCGACGGTTACATTTATACACTATATCAATATAAAAACACAAACGTATCACAAGAAGAGCCTCTCACAATCATGGTAGAGAACAACCAATAAGAAATCATCCGCAGTTGGATAGCTACAGGA